CCCCCAGCCTGCTCGCTGGTGGGATGGGGTGAGGAGCAGAAAAGGCCTTGACTGTGTGTCAGCACTGCTCAGCAGTAATGAAACCATTCCTGTGTTATCAACACTGTTTTCAGCACAAATCCAAACCACAGCCCCATCCTAGCTACTGTGAAGAAAATTAATTCTACCCCAGTCAAAACCAGCACAAATGATGATTGGAGTGATCTGAAAAACTAGAGGGTCAGACACAGACCTTGTCGGCCCTGTTCCTGTGACTTAAACAGAAGGCAGAAGTTGGCTACACAGAACAGGTAGAGCAAATGCAAGCAGTGACCAGAGAAAGCAGCAGTAAGACATTTACTAGGTGGCCCATACTGTGGGCTGTGCTCAGATCATACCAGAATTATTGTTAACCATTTGATGCTTGTTTGCAACTCTGTCATTAAACTGAGCACAGTATTTAGTTACTTCTCAGGTGTTTAGAGATTAAGAAAATATCACACGTCTTACCTTGCTGGTGAGCTTACGGCTATTGACACGCCTCACATGATTAGCCAGTTTGGTTATATCCTTGCCATTGAGTAGCCGAAGATTTTGCAAAAGAAACATTACTTTATAGTCATCGTTGAGCTAGAAAGAGAAGACATCAGAGCGACAAAAATTGTACACGTGGTACTTGCTCTAGCTTTAGTCCTTTATTAAAATACCCCCAAGGATGAGAAGAATATATTTAGTCAGGAAAAGCCATTTCATAAAATCTTCTCAGCATTTCCGACTTGAATATCACTTTTTAATTGTAAATTAACGTTCTCCTATGAGTCGGGATCTTAAACTGCAGACGAAAGACCTGCCTCACACTTATGCAGTACTACCATCCAACACAAGGTGGTGGCGGTGTAACCAGGCTCATCTGCTCCTGCCCGAGTGCAATGCGGGGTATTCTGTTCACATCCTTTAACTCTGAGTGAGCATCTAATGCAGAGGAAGGCCTGCCCTGCCTACAGTAAATGAATACCAGCAGGGCTTCTTTGGGTCACGTGCGTTTTAGGTCAGACCAGTTCCCCCATCCAGTTCACCATACAGCCACACATATACTTCTGCCAGCATGCAAGAGCAAATAAGCATCTGGGGACAGCGGTGGTGGCTGATGCCAGTTTAAAGCACAAGTAAAATTACAGTTTTGGATGCTTAAACTGAACAGGCAGCAGAGCCTCTTGGGAGAAGTCAGAAAACCTAAACTAGACTAGTCACCAAGTTTAACCCCTCATCAGAGCACCAAGTCTGCTCTTCCAGAGCACAAGGGGCACTAAAACTAACATATAAGAATCACAGAATCATTAAGGTTGGAAGAGACCTCTAAGATCATCGAGTCCAACCGTCGACCCAACACCCCCATGCCCACTAAACCATGTCCCTAAGCGCCTCATCTACACGTCTTTTAAATGCCCTCAGGGATGGTGACTCAACCACTTCCCTGGGCAGCCTGTTCCAATGTTTCACCACTCTTTCAGTAAAGACATTTTTCCTCACGTCCAATCTAAACCTCCCCTGGCCCAACTTGAGGCCATTTCCTCTCGTCCTGTCGCCAGTTACTTGGGAGAAGAGACCAACCCCCACCTCGCTACAGCCTCCTTTCAGGTGGTTGTAGAGAGCGATGAGGTCTCCCCTCAGCCTCCTTTTCTCCAGGCTAAACAACCCCAGTTCCCTCAGCCGCTCCTCATCAGACTTGTTCTCCAAAGCTCAAACAAGATGGCTCTTATTGTCCAAGAAGGACATTTCTACACAGTCATTACTATATTTTACACAAGCATGAGCATAAGATATCCTGCCTGATAAGCTACCTAAGATGGGACTCTGGCCTCGAGAATCAGGAGTTCAAGATACCCAGATTTTATTATCTGGGTGGTTTGGGGCAAGTCACTTCTGCAGATTGGGAAACAGTGGCACAAACTGGTGAAGGGGTGCAAAAAGACTGGCTGCTTTCTCAGTTGCCCTAACACTTGCTGCCTAAGAGCAATGTATAAGAACTAGGCACAACTGCTCTTTGTTTCCCCCTCTATTTAATGCTTAGCTTGTAAGGATGGAAGGTAACTCACTGTCAAGTACACATTGTTCTCGTAGGTTAGCTCCTCGAGCAGGGGGAACTGTTTCAGAGCAGTTACATCTTCCAGTTTGTTGTTGTTGCAGTTTAGGACACGCAGATCAGGCAGGGTTAGACTGTTGGGAAATTTGTCCAGTAAATTATCAGAGAGATCTAGTTTCTGCAGATGCCTCAGACGGGAAAACAAACGCGGGTCCAAGTCTCCAGTCTTCAACTGCAGCTTGGACAGGCTGAAAACAAAAGCGAACATGAACCATTTGCAGTTCATTGGAAAAACAAGCGCTGACTTTCACAGGATACGAGGTCCCACCTGCGGCACCTCTCAGTCTAGCACGACTCACTGGGTAAATCTGACCAAACCTGCTTTTTCTTGTCTGCAGCGTTCTGGACTGCAAGCACACATACGTGGAAAAGATGCTGTGTCTGAGCTAACAGACACCATCAGAGACTCAAGTCTACCACAGTATTTGCAGTACAATTAACCTGCAATCCAGATAAACCTCCGATGGGTAACAGAGCTGGCTGTGAGCAGTGAATCACCGGAAAAGTTCTTGTTCGTAGAAAAAAATTACTACACCTCCAAGAATTTTAATATTTTATTCCTTTGCAACGTAAATTCAACAAAACAAGCTGTGGCAATACAAGCCACTTATTCACTACACCATCAGTCTGCCCTGTCCACAGAATGCACTAGATTCATTATTTCACTCATTTTTTTTGAAATCACCATCTCACCACTGGTGTAAGCAATATAAGACTACGGTGATTCCAAAAGTCTAGTCCTGTCCTCCCCCTCACTTCATGCTGACACTTGCACTCACACGACGATGTGGCAAATTGGATCAGTTTGCTGATCTGGCTCAAAACTTCTTCTCTGCATCAGAAGTTAAGTGCAGGCCAAGTGCAGAGTAGGTCCCCAAATCATTTGGCCGTTTTCAAAGAACTAACTTCACAAAAAAGTGATTTTTCCATTTCTTTTACAGTGACTTTTGCTGCAAAAACTTCCAATGGCAAATATGGAAATCTACCTAACAAAATCCCAAGGCTGCCACAAAAACAGAAGAGGAAGTGGTACAATATTTGTGAGGGGAAAAAAAATACCCCTTCTCTGAAAGTGAAAACTGCGTATTATAAGAAGGGTCATTTAGATTTGATTAGATCATTTAGTTGAGCTCCAAAGGGAGCTTCTAGTCCTGGCAGCCAACATCTCTTGAGGACACAAGCCTGAGTTCCTTTAACAAACAGAATCTCCATCTCTAATGATTAGTTAAAAAAGGCCTTCTAAATATAAATGAAGTGTGAAGAAATGAGGTAAATAATAAAATTAGGAAGCAAGACCACTTCTCCTTCACTTGTCATCTCAGAAGCCTAACCAGCCAGTCAAAGCATGTAAGAAAGGTTGAACAGAATTCAGCTGGCTGCAAAGCTGAGTGACTACTGTGTCATTTTGGGGAGAAACTCAACACACTGTTCCCCAAATGGCCTTTCGGAAATATAACACTTCAAAATCACGGTACGAAGCTGCATGGAAAAAGCCACGCTCTAGAAATTCCCTACTTCAAACACCTCAGCATCACTCTGTTACCCAGATTACTGCAGCCTATACTCTTCAGATAAACTTTTGGGTTTCTCTCTAAAAACAATTATTTTAGCACAAGACAAAGTAAAAGAAATAACTTTAAAGAGTAAATAAGAAACCAGCAATAAAAACAACAAAGGTGCCAGACAGAAATTGGCTAGTTGAGTCACTTGGATTGACCAGTTCTGGAATAGCAAAATTCCACTGTATTAAACATTTGGAAAGACACATATTTTCAATTACCTCTGTTAAGGATCTGAGCAAAAAAAATGGTTTTAGTGGTTTCTAAGTGTGTCAGAGTTTATTCTCCCTCTCTGCAATGTTTGAGGTACTAACATAATTGGATTTAGAGGAGATGGAAAGTGATGGAGGGAGAGGAAAAGGGAGGGGAAATAATACCAAAAATATTTTTAAAACCCTCTAAAATCCAGGCCAGAAGAGATTCTCTTATTCACATTAAGCAATTGCTAGCAAAGACAGCAGTGTTTTGGGGGTAGGGACTACATCTTAGGGTTAGGAAATCAGGATCCAGCCTTAAGCAGTTTTACAGAAAGAACGTGGCAGCATATATATACAGCATAAACGGTGAAAAGAGGTGGTAACTGCTGATAACCTATCTAGTGAACGCAGTTCCACTAGCCCTCACTGATCCTGCACCGAGAATGCCATCTCCCGTTCTGTGCTTTGTAACCGTCTCTCTTTTTCCAGTAAAAACGCTTAGGGGAAGAAAGACAAAAAAAGGATCACCCAGGCTGAATTCGGCTGGAATTTTCCATGGGCCTGTCTGCACTTACTTCAGCGTCTCGATCTTTCGGAGCCTCGTGGATCTTGGAACTGCTCTTTCCAGAAGAAGTTCTGTAGTAATTTTTGACATTTTTAGTCTCCACCCCTCTGCTGGAATCACTAATCAGTCAGCTGTAGGATCTCTTCTTGTAACCTTCCTGGTAAAACAAACAGGAATAAGAGGAAGTCCTTTCAGCTGACTCCAAAAGGGGGGAAAAAAAAAAGTTATGAGGTGAGCCAGTGATTTTGCTGCTCTCTTTGAAGTCGCCTTTTTTACACGGTTGAAATGAAAATACCAGAGATTGTTATTACGCTGGGGACACGCTCCCAACACGCTGACCCAACCCACCTCCAAAACAACAGCAATACCTCCCCTGGCTATTAAAGCGACAGACCTGCTGTAGATGAAAGCTGTCCATGGGGTGACAGCGCTCGGGACTAGGACAGTCTCGCAGTTACCTGTTTGTACCTCTCCTGAGCAACAGGGCTCTGCTCCAAGAACTCCGACACGCTTTCAAATAAACAGCAACAGTAAGAATAAATACACCTGTTGTGAATGTCTTCCTCCCAAGGAAACGACACTGTGCGCTCACTGGCCTGACCAGATGGATAGACTCTTGGCTGACAACCTCTAAATTCCCTAGAATTTTGGAAAACTGAATTAATTAACAGAAATGTAAATACCCACCAATCAATAACATCATTTCCTCACCAAGGAAAAAAAATCAGCAGCATTCTGTACGTTATTGGTAGTTAACAGCTGTTTTCATGCATTGTTGTGGATAGGATGATACACGCACATACACATATACACCGATATTTAGAATAATAACCCTGATAGGGCCAAAGTAGCTTCATGAAATTAGTGGTTCGTGGCTTACCACCCTTTCTGACAGATTCCAAGAGAGGAAAATAAAAGAGAAAAGAGCTCCAAGGCCAGGCTCACTACTGTCTTTTTGTGTTAGTCTCACCGCTGCCTAAACACCACTCCAGTAAATCGCAAGGAACACGCGAGGCACTGAGCTGTCCTTAGGCTTGACTTCAGCACCGTAACATGCCTACGGCACCTCCATCATTGGGTTTGATGAGCAACAGGGCATTGCTTTGTTAACACCTGTAAGTAAGGACAATACTTCACGTATGGAGTATTTTACACCAGCGTAAAGAGCACTGAGCCTGAAAAACAGTTTGAACAGCAGCTGTTCAGGATTTGATCCCTCAAGTGACAGAGCTGTCACTGAAAGCCAAAGCACAGG